ATAACGATAAAAAGAACATTAATTTTTAGTAGCTAAATTCAAGGACAAAAAACTATATGTGATTCTCAAAAAAATTTGATTAATCACAAGCTAAATTTTAGAGTATTTATAGTTTCATAAAAAAGCAGTTTGTACTAAAAGTTAACTGAAAAGTTGTTGCCAAACAAGCTCTCAGTTAGAGGAAATAAATTTTAACCAAAAAAGAAATTCTATGTATTATTTTCTTCATTTATGCCTTGGTTTGGAGTTCAATTTTTTTAAATTCATTTAAGCTTACTTAATATAATGTTCCTCTAATTCTGTTTGTCATTCGAGGTTAATTTGGCTTTTTTTTTTTTTTTTTTTCTCATTAAGAAAAATTCTTCCAAGCATAACATTTTTCTAAATACAACTTACTGTATTACCAAATTTTTTAGCTAATATTGATGAATATTTTCAAAATTTTTGCCCTAATCTTCCAGATCTCCTATATATTGAATTACACTATATATTAATATATAATATATATTATATATATATATATATAGAAGCTCTTAGTACATACAGGCTTAAGCAAACACAAAATATTATGCTATACAAAGTGAATTTTGGAAATCAATAGTTATAATATGTACTCTCTCTCTCTATCAAGTCTGTTTCTTTCTCTTCTTCTTGAAGTCTCTTGAATTCTCCTTACTCCTCTCAATCAGTTCCTTCTCTTCTTTTTCTTTCTCTATGATTCTCAGTTGCCAAACACTCTTAAACCCTAGATTAGGATATATGTGACATCTAATCCTATCAATTTCTTGCCCCTTGTGCATGCCCTTCCAAGTTATCAACCTTACCGCATGCCCTTCCAAGTTATCAACCTAACCGTAAAGCACTCTTTTTGGTATGTTAGACAGAATAATAGATAATAGTTTTCTCCATCCTTATAAACTCAGGAAATTATTTACCTAAACTGAGTTAATGCATCTGATAAATCTAATTGATTATGAATAGGGTAAACAGAGTTTTGAGTGTTTTTCGTTAAAAAAATGGTATAGTAATAAATATTGACAGGTAAGATGAATATAGATAAATTTTTCTCATAAATCCAAAGCCCATCGAAAATTTGAATTTAAGACTTTCAAATTGAAATTTCGGAAGACTATTAAGTTATCTCCTTCCCTTTACTTTATCAACTCCCAATCAATTTGGTAAATAAAGCAAGCATTTTTCAGAAAGTAAGAGTAATGCATACGTAAAAAAGGGTAAATTAGGCTATTGCAATGCATACCGCTAATAAATCTTTCTCAATTGAGGTGCCTAAACATACGAATCTTTCTAACTTTTCTTCTATTTCAATTTATTGTTTGTTTTATTATGGTTTTTGTAATTATACCAATAAACAAAAGAAATGACTTGGCCTATCTTTTACTTTTGAAGTATGAACCAGGTCATTGGAAGGCGCAATCTACAGCAAAAGAACTTTGGCAAGTTCGATCAGTCTTCTCTTGAACAGCAAGTAAGACATCATGGCCTCTAAAATTACTAATTGCCATTGTCAAACAACAGCTATTTTCAATGTTTACTATTTAAGTATTTCAAAGATAATTTCTAAAATACATGGTCACTTCTAGAGAATCAAGTCAGAATCAGAACCATACTAGAGAATCAAGTCAGAATCAGAACCATACAACTATATATATATATATATATATTCTCAAGTTACCTTAAAATATACTTGGATGTATTTTAAGCAATAAATAGGAGATTGTCGATATAACAATCTAAAAAGCAATTGTAGCTAGTATTTTTCAATTTATTTTAATTGCAAAATTTAATAATTTTAATAAAATTAAGTATAATCCATTCAAAATATAAAGAATTTAAATGATTGTTTTTTAGATTTTAAATATATTAGGTGTAAATTTACAAATAAATTTCATACAAGTTTGCTAAATTTTTATATCCCAGATAGCTTTTATTTTATTATCATTTTCTTTAATCCATCCCCCCACTCCCCACATAATCTCTTATTATTTTTATTATTTTGTTATAAATACATGCCGTATTTTCTTGTAGAATTCATTTTTTATCATTTGTTATAATTAGCTTTTTATTTATTTTTACCATTTCGTAGAATTCATTTTCCTCATACTAAACAAGGACTTAGTATTATTTGTTCCACATGTAATGTGACTTGAAAGCATTTACTTGTCCCCTTTTAGCTCGAAGATGGTACATTCACAGCCCTCAGCAAGGAAGTAGCACAAAGGACACTTGAATTAAGGTAACGTGTTTTTAGAATTCTGTGTACCTTCTTATCTCAAGAAGATTTCAATCTTATTTAACTTGAGGTTTTTCAGATTTTTTTTTACCTAGTATTTACGAGGTAAGTCGGATGTATTTGGAGGACATGATGGTTCAGATTTAGAAACTTAAAAATGCCAAGTATTTTCTAGATTTAAATTAATAAAAGAATTTTATATTGCTGATAAAAAAAAATATGTATCTCTCAGTTTACATACAATGTTGAGATTTATTTCATTTAATGCATGATAGGCATATGAGAGGAGAAGAACTCCAGCGATTGAGCATTGAGCAACTACAAGAATTAGAGAAGTCACTTGAAAGAGGCTTGAAACGAGTTCTGGAAACTAAGGTTTATGCATTTTTATATTGTGTATATCAATTTTACTTGGTTTCTTCTTAAACTGATAAGTTACCCTAATAGTTCTTGATACCCTAATAGTTCTTGATTTCAAACCATAATAGCCAGATTAACAAAAAGAAAAAGAAAAGGACTAGTCAGTGAACTTTCATTGTTGCAATGTTAATTTTCTCTTTGATCCATCTTAACCATGTTTTGTGATTCCAGATCTTGACAAATTCCGGGGAATTTAAGGCTCTTAAATCCAGAAATGGCTTTTAGAATACTTTTCCAAGTTGAAAACTTGGTTTATTAATTCTACTAGAATGTGATGCAATTTTATTTGTGGTGTTTCAGAGTCAGTAATTACAAATGAGATCAATGCCCTCAAAAGCAAGGTCATATGCCCATCTTTGAACTGTAACTGTTGCTCCTTCTACGTTAGTTATTATTGATGAGTAAAATGGTGATCATTTTAAGAACTGTTCTACATATTCTATAAATATAATTTCTGAGTTTTGATGGCCGTTGGTTTATTTGCTTTCATTATTATTATTTTTTTTTTAAAAAAAAAAATTATATCTTGCTCTTTGTTTTCCGTCATAATTTGCTTTTCCCTCATAATTTGCAGGAAGCTCAATTAATAGAAGAGAATGAGCGACTAAAGCAACAAGTCTGTGAGATCTTTTATTTTCAGTTCTTTATTTGTACCAGTACTCTAAACTAACTTCTGAGTTCCTTTCTGTGTATTTGTATGGTAGATAATGAATGTACCAATGGGCAGACTGCATTTATCTGAACCAGGACAGTCATCAGATTCCATGATCACTAATACCAGCAGCTCTGCAGATCTTTCTCTAGACTATGAAGGAAACTACACTTTCCTTAGATTGGGGTTGGTTTTTTACACTCAGTTCATTTCCTTGCAAAATTTATTGATGTAATTCTTGGCCTGCTATATATATATATATATAGAGAGAGAGAGAGTTTAAGAAAGCATTTATCATCAAAATACTGCTCAAGAAATAAACTAAAATTGTTGCTGCAAGATACATGCAGCTGCAGAATCATTTGATTTACTGAACAGAATCATTTCTTTGTTGAATAGAAATGCCAAACAAACTCATGAACATAAAAATTGCAGGTTACCCTTCCCAGATTGAGTTTGAAGGATATGAAATGTTCTTGAGGATCAATGTGGCTTATTGCAGTTTGTTGTGATAAGTATTTCACGGAGGAAATTCTTCTTAATTCTATGGTTGCGTCCCTGTCTGTGTTCATCCCAATGGAATCATCAGCACATGAAACCATAGATGCTTAATTATATATGTGTGTGTATATATATTGTAAATTTACCATATAAAGTTAGACACTCTGACAAAATAAGTAGTTTGGAGCTGTAATGTGTGTTCTGATTACCTGGAGTTGTATTTCAGAACAAAAATAAAGGCATCTATATCTGGACAATTTAATTATTTTCAAGGGTTAATCAGTGTTATGGGACTCTGTTTCCCCCATTGTTGATAACTTGATTAGGGTTTAAATTAGGTTATTGGTTGAACTTAAACAGCAGGTTGGCATTTTGTTGCAACATAGCATATTTATAGTTATAGCATTATTGGACCAACTTACCGATATTAGTTTTTAGGAACGTGTTCTATATTCTCTTTAGAAAAAAAAAAAAAAAAACTACTTAATATTTAAAGTCATTGAAAATTGCTAAACTGGTGTGTTTGAAGGTAGGTTTTGCTTAATGATGCTTTTATGATTGCTTTTTCCATGTTGGAGCTGCTGCTCATCTGTTACTTTCATCTTGGGCTATAAACTTACCATTGCCTATTTATTGGGCTTATTCCAAGCATTGTCATGGTTATGTCAGCTGTGATGGATGTGTTTGGCTTCTTTATAGAGCATTGCTTCTTGCTTTGCTGTTCTATTTGATGCTTCTTTGCTATTGTTGCACCTAAACCTGGAAACTTCCAATATCCAAGTTTAAGGGCAAGTGGTTTCATTACCTTTCCTAATATTATTGTTGCACCTAAACCTGGAAACTTCCAATATCCAAGTTTAAGGGCAAGTGGTTTCATTACCTTTCCTAATATGATACTCGAGCATATTTAAATATGTAAGGATTATTCACTTTAGCATGATCGAGGTGTGCTCATTTGCTATTCAACTTTCTTTGCTGAAGTTGAATCCTTAAGAGAAAAGGTTGCAGAAGAGGTTTCACTATAATTTAAACTAATGACAAATCATTTGTTGTTTTGGAGCATAAATATTTTATTTGTAAAGGCAGAGCATGCAGTTTAATTTCAAGGTCCGGCCAACAAATTCAGACCATTATATGTGCTCCAAGTCTCCTTCTAGTGTGATTGTTCAAGTTCCTGTATCTCCACTACAACAGGAACAGGTATTCTATCAGTGAGTCCAATATGATGAAAATTCACATCTTATAGCAGCTACTTGGTGAAGTGGAAATAACTTATCCTCAACTAAAGGTACTTGTATAAAATACTTCTGTATTTTATGATGTATTTTTGTTGAATAGTCATTTTGTTTCATGCTTATTCATTTTCATGGTTGGCAAAGTGTCCAGCACATGCAACAGCATTGCACATGCAACAGCATTGCACGTGTATTTATAAAATTGCAATGTCTTATTTTCTTTATCAGTCTATGTTTCTTGAAGATTGTACAGCTGTTTTAGGGACATGTTCTGTAACTTTGAAGCAGAGAACTCATTGTGTTTTAAGTAGTAACTAAATTTAGGGGTCAAAAGAACCTAGTAAAAACTCATCATTTTGGTCTATGAAAGGACTAAAGTGTTAATTTTCGTAAAATTAAGAACCAACATATATATTAGGTCAAGCCTTGGGGTATTTTGTTATTATTTGAATTTCAAGGATTTGATGGGTGATGGGACAATCATTATGCTGGTGAAATCAGTCTGAATTTATTTGTTGTGAATGTATTCATTTTCCTGAAGATGCTGCTGTGCACCCTTTTTTCTTTTAATGTACTTGTTTATACTGTTCATTTCCCAGTTCAATAAAATTGAGAGGATGGATGCATGGCTGAGTCAAGTCGGGTAGTACTTGAAAATTAAATAATTTTGTGTTGTTTATAATTAAATTATTGCAGATAACTGCGAAGCTGTCTTCATCCTCAAAATCTGATTATGAATCTTTATTGCATGCAACAACTGATCATGTCATTTGTTTTGATTATTTGTTGTGTGCTTACATTACATTCTTGCTACTTAAATACTCTTGTGCAATACAGAAGTTACCGGAAATACATTACATTCTTGCTACTTAAATACTCTTGTGCAATACAGAAGTTACCGGAAATGCATTACTAAGATTGGTTGCTAAGTTTCTGGAGAAGAATCATCTGCAGTGATGGACGACAATTGATGAAACTAGTTGGGCAACATTTAAGTTATGGTGTCTCTGAGACCAATTGAGGATCTTCGAACAAGGTAAGCTTAGTTGCAAAGCTCGTTTAACTGTTTTCAGACATTGATTAGAATTTCAAGTACTACAATGGTTGAGAAGTGGAAAACTTTTCTATTGAAATTGTTTTCCTTGCTTTGGCAATATGGCAATAATTGAGCTCCCAAAAACGTTTTGCAAGGAATCAGAGTTTTCAAGTTCAAGGCTTCTTCTATCAAGTGTGCAAGGAATCAGAGTGTTCCACTATCAAGTGTGCAACACTGCAGCTAGATAATTGGAATCATTGGCCACCATCTATCATTGTGGGTAGTGACTTTGCTTCTCTGGAGGTTAATAAACAACAAAGTTCAGTAATTTTTTATTCTGTAGGCTTATCTTTTCATCATTTCTCTCCCAAATGTATTATTAGTTCCAAATTTCAAAAAATTTCACCATTTTTAATTACAATTCTAAAGTATTAATTATTGGATTTTGAAACGCTACTTCAAATATTGAATTTACCCAACACCTCTAATTAGTGATTATAAACTTGAACACCTGCAAAGCTGGTTCACAACATGCCCTAACCAACCATATCTCCAAGCAAAATCTTTGGGCCTGGGCTGAATTGGCCCAAACTTACTCTATTTTTCTAAAAGTCTTTGTCAAGGTATTATTAAAAAAATATATAATATTGCATAAAATTCACCGTATAGGGCCGGGCTTGACTTGGACTGACATCTCTAAACTGAGGACGGACCCTAAATCTGCTCAGGATACGCCCGCCGCTTATTCAAGGGCAAAAAATTTAGGGCCGAAGTCTTTATTTTTGCCTCAGGAGATGGCAGCTGGGCCAATGTCCACCCCTTCTGATGTTATTTCTTTCTTTCAGGGTACAGGTGTCATGTTTCTTTTTCATACATTGCGAACATAAACAAGCTAAATGAAAATATATGTGCATGATATAATATATTCGGAATAATTAATTTGATCAGTGATAATTCCTGAAAAAAATTTCTCTGAATTTATAATTCCTGAAAAAAATTTCTCTGAATTTTTTTTATTTATTTCGAGTGATAGATATTTTTAATTGACGATTCAAACTTTTAATGTATGATTCTTTAACTCTCTATATATATTATAATTTTCTTTTTAAGTCATTTTTTGATTATTATTTTGTCTCAAAATATAATTCATTTTTAGTATTTTAAATAGTAATAAATTATATTTTTCCGATATTATCTTTATTTATATAGAATAATTAGTCTTATTTTTGAGATAAATGATAATTCGATTAAATTATTATTAATTTTATTATAATTTAGAAAAATTAATTACCTTATTAATCCCAGTGTAAAAATATTAAACGATTTATATTAAAGGATAAATTAAATCAAATGATAAATTAAAAATCATTATTCATTGTTTAATATTTAAAAAGTATATAAGTATTTTTACCTATAAGTATTTTTACCATATAATTTTTTACTATTTATCTTACAAATAAATATTATACTATTAACTTATTAGTATATATCCAAAATAGTATAAAAATAAAAAAAAAAAGTATGAATAAAAAAGTATTTTTATTTTCAAGGAATATGGGAAGTATTGGTGTAATTATTTATGGACATTGTCATTTTCTCTCCTATTTGCTCCATTTTCTGTTCCATTTGGAGGCATTGCATGTGGGTCCGATAGCATTATTGCATGTGGGCTCCACTTTATCTTTTTCTTTGTCTTTTTGAAGAAAATTTTGAGGCATTGCATGTGGGTCCGATAGCATTATTGCATGTGGGCTCCACTTTATCTTTTTCTTTGTCTTTTTGAAGAAAATTTTGTCTACACTTAAATATAGAGTTCAATTTAAAATAGAAATAAAGTAAATTGAACCAAATTGCATTTTAAAAATGAAATCAATTTAAATTGAAATATAGTTTAGAATCAAACCAATTCAATCGGTGAATTTTGGTCAGTTTTTGCATTTATTTTTAGTTTGACTTGAGCATATTTTTTTATGTGTCATAGAACCGAGAATGATAAAACCTAACCAAATTCGCTTGAATCGATCAATTTAATCGATTCAACCCGATGTATTTCGACTCCTAACCTATTGTGTGGACCGATCTAAAAGTGTTCTTAAATCATCTCAAACTGCTCAAATCAAATTAAATTGAAAATAAATTTTTAAAATTAATGATTTAGTTTGATTTGAAATTTTTCAAACTGCTAAATGTTAGTCTAGTTATGATTTGTGAGTTAATACCGCCAAATTGAACCAAACAAAATAAATATATAGATATTAATAAATAAATAAATAAATATATAATTTTGACTATTTTTTCTTATCATCATATATTGAAATAATGAATATATTAATTGTTATTTAATTTTAAATTTTAAAGCTATGATTACTTGCACTTATTTTGTACAAAAAAAGAGTTAAAGGGAGTAATTATAATACATTTGATTTGTAAGAAACTTTGGGATAATATTGGAAAAATAAAATAAATTCCACAAGATGATTAGACATAATAATTCATTTATTTTGATTATTATTTTATATTTGATGTAAAAATTAATTGAAATTTAATTTTTCTTTTTTTTTTATTGAAATTAACGAACAGCTCCTGATATTGAGGAGTGCCAAATATTGAAATTAAGGAAAATTTGGTTCGGATAAAACTTAAAAATGAATTAAATGAACGATGAACACTCTTAAATATACCTCAAGTCAACAGTTTATATAACACTTAAATATTTATTACTATTTTTTTTTTTTTGGACTATTTTCCCAATAAAAAGACATATTTACCCTTATTAATCTCAAGTGCGGTCAAATAAGGCTGGAGATGAAGCTAGTAGACTCTAACTGTAGACCACAGAAAAACTTTCAAACATTTGGAAAGTCAAATAAAGAAAAAACACTTACACGTTTTAGGGTAAAATTGAAAAAAATTTGAAGCTTAAGTGATCCTCCAAATTCTTCGTTCCTTTCATTTTCTAAATTATTTTCTTTTTTCTTCCAAAACAAGAAGAAAAAAACTTTCCTCCATTTATTGCTCAACTATTTTCTGTCTCCAAATAAATTGCTTTACCTTTTATTTTGAATACTAAAATTCTGTTTGTTTTTAGAAAATAATTTACTTTTATAAAATATTTTCAAATGATTTATTTTCTGCATTTGGTTATAATATCAAAAATTAATTAAAAATATTAAAATTTTTAACTTGCAAGATCATAAAAATATTAATAATAATAAAAATTTTGCATTTTAAAATTTTTATTATTAAGAAAATGTTTTGGGGAAATAACCTAGTATTTAATGAGTTATTATTAAATTTAAATGGAGAAGAGAGAAGAGACATGATTGGTACGAGGGTACAAGGGAGTCAGAATTCTGACATGACAGCCAGCATGGCTATCTGTACGGAAAGCTATAATCGCCGTGTAAAGTACACATATAACTGTATTTTTTTATTAATATATTCAGGCATTAGTTTCCAAAAGAAAACATTATTTAAGAAAATCTCAGAGCCATTGGTTAATGTTTCCAAATTCGTTTGTATACAAAAATTGGAATTTACACTTTTTAGAATCTTTATGTTGAAAAGCTATAACTAATCTTTCTAAATAACAAAATAAGATGTAATTAAATTTTCAACTTTCTATATATAAATTTAATTTATATTATTAAAAATAAGCATATTCACCATTTATATTTTATTTTTCACTCGTTATATTTAAATTCTGATTTCACCTCTCAATGGCAGGAAGAAGGGCTAAAGGTGACTATAGCCATCTAAGTTCAAAAAAATTTCTAAATTTACTTTATAAATTGAATATAAATTGGTGAAATTGTTTTGATTCTGGCCCATAATTTTGAAATATTCTTTTTAGCTTTTTGCTAAAATTGTTCAGCAACAGCTTTTTAAGTAACTATATTCAAAATGTTAAATGTTACTGTTTAAGTAACTCTAACTTTTAGAGTTTAAAGTAGCGTTTTCATCGAATACTAAAAGCTACTCAAAAGCTAACAATTATCAGAATGGTTAATTTTGCCGAGAGACTGACTTTGCCTTCTTTTTCTTTTAGCTTCGCGGACAGACCCTAAGATTGAATTTTGACTCTGCTACTGTACCCTGTGTGTTACAATATTATTTGAATTATTTAACTAAAATTATTATATACTAAAGATATTAATTTTTGTAGGTAACTTTTAAAATATTTTAACAGTAAAAACAATAAAATTAAAAATAATTTTAAATGAATTTTCCAATAATTCCTTTTTGAAAAATAAGTTATGCTTGAGTACTAAAAAAGCAGTAGAGTATCTTTTCATTTTCCTTGCCAAATTTGATCTCCCAATTTTCTTTTCTCCCTAAAAATCCCTCCATCCAAACAGACCTTAAGCGAACATGTTAAAAATATTTAATAAAAGAAAAAAGAGTTAAAATATATAAATTATAAAATGGTCAAATTTTTTTTGTTTTCCTATTAATATCAACCAAGTCAATGTGAGAGGACTTTCTTTTTTCCTTTTCTAAACTAGGTTACGAGATATCTCTCTCTCTCCTTCCTTTAATACAACTGGTGGACTTTGTATGCAAAGTGTCAACAGCGACAGAAACGACAGCCTCAGAAAAAAGAAAAAAGAATTTAAAAAAAAAAAAAAAAAAAAAAAGGAAAAAAGTAGAGGTAAAATACATCTGCTTGATCCTTGTTGCTCCTGTCGAAAGGATGTGAGGCTTGGAGTGGTAGTAGATTGTGTCCTCCACAGGTAGGTTTTCTCATAATTTCCTCTTTCTTTCTTCTTTCCTTTCTCTTGCCTATAATTCTTTTTGATTCTTGATTATCTATATTTCTTTACTTCTTCTTTGTAAAGGTCCTTTTTCTGTTAGGGTTCATTCTTATCAGATTCTTTGATTTTCTTTATTTATCTAATCTACGCATAATATTCCTTTTTCAATTGGACCCTTTCAGTTTTAAATTTCCATTATAAAGTAACATTCTTTCATTTTGTACTTTGCTTCCATCATTGTCTTCAAATTTTTCATTTTTTTTAAGTTTCTTTCAGACTTTAAATACAGTAACAGAAGATTTTCTTCTCTTTTCTTCTTCTTCATCTGCCATTTCCATATATTATATAAAGGTAAAACGTTGTTTTCTCCTGATTGATCTTTAATTCTTGATATTTTTCATTATATATATATATTGCTAAAATTGTTTTCCCCTTTCTTTGCGGTGTTGGGTTACTGGGTTTGCACTTCTTGTAAAGCAAGATCTAGTATTGATTTTTTTTTTCTTTTTTGGTAATTAATAACATGTTACCTCTTCCAACTAAAGCTCTGACTGATTTTTCACAATTCTTTAATTTTATTTAATTATTTTTTGAAGTTTTAGGAAAGGAAGTGCAGTCAGATTGTTTCTTTCTTGATTAAAAACAAAATTCTCTTGAAATTAT